TCCTAGAGTTAGGCCCCCTCGGGCCATCGGCGCCTGTCACTGGCCAGCCCTCCTCCCGCGCCGTGGCCTTCGGCGGAGGGCGCGGTTCTTAACGGCGGAGGATGGCGGCAGCCTAGAGCCCTGGGCGTGAGCTCACCGGCCCCGGGGAGCGGAGACTGACGGGCGCCCCGTGGCCTGGCTGCCCATCGGGAAGCCTCCCTCGGCCGGGCTCTGCCGTGCAGGGCGGATTCTCTGCGTGAAATCAATCGCCTCCGGGAAAGGCAAACAGTGCGAAGGAGCGTGTGAAGCCTGCTGCGTTATTGGCATAAAATTAAACTCCGTGGACGCATAACGTTCCCTACCCGAAGCAGGAGCGGATTTTATCCTCGGAGCTCAAAGACCTCCTGATTAATATGCAAAGCGGCCTCGTTTCACAAGCAAGTTTGTTGTGTGTTGTTTTTTTTCTTCTTCTCAGAAAAGAGACAGTTCTTCGCTGCAGGAAAATGCTGTGAGGTTTGGAAACACAAACTCGTCTATACTAATGATAGAGGATCTGCAAATTATCGGCTACAGCACCACGTCACCACCGGATCAGCAGGCTGCGTCCCCGCCCTCTGCTCGGCAGCTGCAAGGTCCGGGCAGGAGAGGAGCTGATGGGGGGGAGAGGAGAGGAGAGGGAGAGGAAGGAGGCCTGCACGAAGACAGGCCGAGAGGAGAGACAGAAATACAGAGCGGGAGCAAGAAGCTGCAGGAAAGGGAAAGGGGAGGAACGGGGCTGCACGGGGGGACGGGTGGCGACGGTCACCGGCTGCTGGTGGGGAGGCGCCCCCGGTCCCGGACGGATGGACGGAGTGGTGCACGGTCCGAGGCCTTCTGGCCGGAGGCCCTCCTGCTTTGGGCGGCAGCAGCACCTGAGCCACTCGGCCTCGGCCTCCCTCGCTGGCAGGGCGTCCGGGCGGGGAATGGGAGCAGGACGGGGGCGGCAAACACCTGGCTGGGCTGAGCCCTGGGCTGGGGGTTAAGCCCCCCTCCCCCGAAAACGGAAGCTTTAAGAAGGGAGAGAGGAAGAGAAGAAGGGAGGAAGAGAGAGGGAGGAGGGAGGGAGGGAGGGAGGGAGGGAGGGAGGGGGGGGAAGGAGAGGGAAGGAGGAAAAGGGGGAGGGAGGGAGGAAGAGAAGAGGAAAGGTGAGAGGAAGAGAGGGAGGAGAAGAGAGGGAGGGAGGAGGAGGAGAGTAGGGAGGGAGTTAGGGGGAGGGAGGGAGGAAGAGAAGAAGAGAGGGAGGGAAAGAGGGAGGGAGGAGGGAAGGACTTTATAAAGGAGTCGGTAGAGCTCGGAGTTAAAGAAGGAAGCAGGAGGTGTGAGTGAACTGTAGGAGCTATAAAGAAAATCAAGTAGACTTGTGTCCTGGGGACAGGTTTTAAAAGCAGGAGTCAGAAAAGGAAAAAGATAAGTGACAGTGAATAACTAGGCAGGTGGATAGATATTAAAACCGTGAAGTAAGTAGAGAAGGGTGTATGGGAAAGGTAGGATGAGAGAGACAGGGGGAGGGGAGAAGAGTTTAAAGGGGAGCCGGCAGAGCCTACAAGGAGAATGGGGAGAAGGAAGAAATGGGGGAGGGAGCAAAGCAGGTCCGAGGGAGGAAGTGAAGGGGAAAACATTAAGGGGTAAAGGCAGGAAAAGGGGAGGAGGGCAGGGGTAAAGATAAAGGAAAGAAGGAATGTGGGGAGGGAGGGTAGGAGAAAAATGGGAAGAAGGATGATAGCAAGAAGTAGGGAATAAGGAGAAAAGGAAAGCTTATAAATGATGATTCAATAGGAAAAAGTATTACAATTAAGGAGAGAGAAAAATTGTGTGAGAGGGAGAAACCAATAAGGAAGTCAAAATTGTGTGAAGGTGATGAGATTTTTTTTAAAAAGTTAATAGGGGCGACCTGGCCGGCAGGAGAGGGCAGTTAGGGGGATCAGGCTGGCATGCAGAGTGGTTAGGGCAGGCAGGCAGGTGAGACGTTAGGAGCCAGAGGTCCTGGATTGTGAGAAGGATGTCCAACTGGCAGTTGGACATCCTCCAAGGCTCCCGGATCGGAGAGGGTGCAGGTCGGGCTGAGGGACCCCCCCTCCATGCACGAATTTCATGCACTGGGCCTCTAGTCCAGTGTTTTTCAACCTTTTTGGGCAAAGGCACACTTGTTTCATGAAAAAAATCACGAGGCACACCACCATTAGAAAATGTTAAAAAATTTAACTCTGTGCCTATATTGACTATATATAAAGTAATTCTCTTGAATAGGAATCAAATAAACACAAAGAAAGTATTTTACAATTACTTTATTATGAAATATTAAGTAAACAAAATAGTGAAAAATTATAAAATTCTTGTCTTGTCTGCACCTACGGCACACCAGGCAACATCTCGTGGCACACTAGTGTGCCGCGGAACAGCGGTTGAAAAACGCTGCTCTAGTCTATAATAACAAAAGGGTAACATGCTAATTAGACTGGACAGCTGAACGGCCTTCTAGATGAAGCCATGGAGTCGGGGCCACGGCAGAGGAGGTTATGAGTGATCAGGCAGGAAGGCCAGTGGTTAGGGGCAATGAGGCAGGAAGGCCAGTGGTTAGGGGCAATGAGGAGGAAGGCCAGTGGTTAGGGGCAATGAGGCAGGCAGGTGAGTGATTGGGATCAATGAGCAGGCATGTGAGTGATTAGGGGCAATGAGGCAGGAAGGCCAGTGGTTAGGGGCAATGAGGCAGGCAGGCAGAGGTGGTTAGGGGTGATCAGACAAGCAGGCAGGTGAGTGGGTATGGGCATCAGACAGGCAGGCGAGTGGTCAGGAGCCAGCAGTCCTGGATTGTGAGAAGGATGTCTAACTGGGATCGGGCCTAAACCAGCAATCGGACATCCCCCGAGGAGTCTCTGATTGTGAGAGTGCAGGCTGGGCTGAGGAGCAAACATGCACCGGGCCTCTGGTATTGATATAAAAGCCAACACGTCCACTTGCCCAAAACAATAATGACTAGATGCTGTGAGAATGAGTCTATTTCTTCAGCACGTGTACAGCTACGAGCTGTGTGCTTGGCTTAGGAGGTTAAGTTTACAGAATGTAAATAGAAAGCATCGCCAGGGCTTCTCTATAAAGGTCCGCCTGCTTGTATGATCATTTTTTTTTAACTGTTAAAAGGAAAGAAAATCCAGTAGGAGAGGAACTCTGGACCTAGTCATATAAATTTAAGTTGTATGCCTCCAAATTTAATTTTAAAAAGCAGGCTCCTACCCAGTTTATGTCTCAGAACTATGAACCAGGAGGTCACGGTCTGAATCCCAGTCAAGGGCACAGACCCGGGTTGTGGGCTCCATCTCCAGTAGGGGGCGTGCAAGAGGCAGCCAATCAGTGATTCCCTCTCATCATTGCTGTTTTTCTCTCCCTCTCTCCTCCCTTTCTCTCTGAAATCAATACAAATGTATTTTTTTTAAAAAAAATGAAAGAGAGAGAGAGAGAGAGAGAGAGAGATGTATCTAGTGTGGGTCCACCAACTAAAATCCAAACATTCTAAAAACCAAAATATGGGTGGTAATTTTTGGGGTTTTGTTTTTTTGTTTGTTTGTTTGTTTTTGTTTTTTAATATATTTTATTGATTTTGTACAAAAAGGAAAGGAGAGAGATAGAGCGTTAGAAACATCAATGAGAGAGAGTCATCGATCAGCTGCCTCTTGCACACCCCCTACCGGGGATATGCCCGCAACCAAGGTACATGCCCTTGACCGGAATCGAACCCGGGACCCTTCAGTCCCCAAGCCGACGCTCTATCCATTGAGCCAAACCGGTCCCGGCTGTTTTTTGGGGTTTTTTTTTTTATATAATTTACTTGGAGACAAAGGCGATCTGATCTGAACTCATCTGACATTAAAGTTTAATGTGATAAATGAGAGGCCATTTATACTCTTTATCTTAATGTGAACATTCATCCATTTCACGGCAAAATAACGATGTTTGATTACAGGATGCTGCCCCCATGGGGGTTGGGGGGATGTGATATTACAGTGTTTTCTCTTTATTACCTTTCTAAAACCCTAAGAACCCAGAGAAACTCCTCCTGAACGCCTCTGGCCCCCGCGTTTTAAATGAGAGGGCGTTAACGGCAGCCAAGGCTGGGCGCAGCGGGAAACAGAGGTGGGACCACCCGGGGACCCCCAGTGGTCCGGACCCCAGCAGTCCTGGCCGGAAGCCGTGAGAGCCGAGGCACCGGGCCGCCCCGCCGACGGGGCCGGTGGGGGACAGGCATCGCGGGATTGGACGGGGCAGCTCCCCAGATGCAGGAGAGAGATGGGGGTCAGAGGACGGTCCACGGTCACCGCTGGGGGCCCCGGGAGGTCCGGTGACACCGACCACGGAACCGGGATGGACAGGGACCGGGTCTGCCCGTCCCACTGGCCACGGGGCGCTGGCAGAAGCTCTGGGCGGGGCCTGGGGCGGAGCGTGGGCCGGGGACTCCGGTGGTGAGATAAATGGGGGGGTCATGGCCACATGCCGACGATGAAAACCGAGGAAAGGACGCAGGGAAACACTTTCTTCCCAGAAGTCATTCATTAAAGGGCACGGCCCCACAGCAAGCACGCCGGCTGGGAGCCAGGGCTCTCGGCCGCCGTCTTCTTGTCCCGAACGCTCCCTCCACCGGACCAGCCTCCACCGTCACACAGAGCACACAGCCCGGCCGGCACGGCTGTGCGGAGCGGCGACCTGTGAACCCGGAGGTCAGGGTTCGATTCCCGCTCAGGGCACAGGCCCGGGTTGCGGGCTGGGTCCCGTGTGGGGTGTGCAGGAGGCAGCCGACTGGTGATTCTCTCTCCTCCCTGATGTTTCTCTCCCCCTCTCCCTTCCTCTCTGAGTCATTAAAAATGTAAAGAGGGAGGGCAGGAGCTAACAGCAGAGGGTGGAGTGGGGACCAGGTGGAGGGGAAAAGGGGGGAGGGCGGGGAAAGGAGAAACAATTGTAATAATCTGAACAATAAAGATTTATTAAAAATAAATAAAAAAACAACACGGGCGTCTTAACTGCGTAAAATTCCGCAAACAGAATCGGCTTTTGTTCCTGAAGAGAGGACGGCGTCTCCCGTTTGGCCGCACAGACACTCTGCAATCATCCCTCTCTGAGGGCTTCCGGCTGTCCACCCCCAAAATCCAATGCAAACAGAAACAAACCAACGCAGCTGTTCAAAAAAAAGAAAAAATGCCGTCTTCCGTCACTTCACCAGCCCCAGGGCCAACTCGGAGAACAGCGCCAAGAGTCCTGCAGCTTCAAACTCCTTCTGCAGCTCGTCCAGCGACGAAAACTCTTTGACTTCAAAGGCCAGGAACCTGCGGCAGGAGATAGACGGGAATGAGCCGGCCGCCCGGAGGGCGACCACGGCCGCTGGCGCCGGTGCCCACGCTGCCCGGCCACACCTGGCGTGTCCCGGCTGCGCCCAGGCCTCCCACAGCACGCTGGCCATCCTCTCTCTGCACTTCCTCCCACTCGAGTCCACGTCCACCTTGGAGGTCCTCTGCAGCACCAGGAACTCCTGCGGGACAAGCAGGATGTTGTCTGTGGGTGCCTGAAGCTCTGGGCCCCAAGTTTTCCTCTCTCTGTTTAAGAAAATGTGTTTGTATTGATTTCAGAAAGAGAAACATCCACGATGAGAGAGAACCATGGACCGGCTGCCTCCCGCCTGCCCCCCTCTAGGGATCAAGCCCACAGCCCGGGCCTGTACCCGGACCGGGAACCGAACCGAGACCTCCTGGTTCCTAGGTCCGCGCGCACCCATGGCGCCTCGCCGGCCGGGCCTGGGTCCCAAGCTTGTGAGCAGCCAGGCGCCTGCAGGCTGAGCTCCCGCCTGTCTCCGTGGGAACCGGGCGGCGGGGGGTGCGCGTGTTTTTGCTCACTGGCTGGTGTGACGGGCCGGCCGGCCGGCCGGCCGGGGACCAGAGGCCAGAAGAGGCCGTCTCAGGCTCCATGCCGGCCTGGGCGGCCTGCCCGCTGGGCCTGGGCCGGTGGCCCGTCACTGTGGCCTCAGGAGCCTGCCCCCTGCTGAGCACAGGCCACTGCGCCGGCGTCTGCGTGGCTGCCCCGGTGGCCGCGCCCACTCTGCAAACAGGCGGCGTCTGCCGGGCTGCACCGCTCCACGCTGGGGACCAGCACCTGCGACCAGTCCTCACCGCGACCTCTAACGGCCTCGGGCTTGTTGGCATTAGAAGGCACGTCAGGGACAGGAGGTAAACAAGGAAGAACTCCACCCGGCCGTTTGGTTCAGGTCAAGGGCATGTCCCTCAGCCACAGGTCCATTCCCGGCCGTCAGGGCACCTGCAGGAGACGACCAATCCACGTGCCTCTCTCACACTGACCTCTCTCCCCCTCCCTCACACTGACCTCTCTCTCTCTCTCTCTCTCTCACTCTGACCTCTCTCTCCCTCTCTCTCACACACTGACCTCTCTCTCCCTCTCTCTCTCTCACACTGACCTCTCTCTCCCTCTCTCTCTCTCACACTGACCTCTCTCTCCCTCCCTCACTCTGACCTCTCTCTCCCTCCCTCACTCTGACCTCTCTCTCCCTCTCTCTCCTCTCTCTGTCAATGGAAAAAACAGCCTCAGGTGAGGCTCGTTAAAACAGAAGCCAGCCCTTAAAAAGAAGTGCGATTTCTCTGCAGGCACGCTCCGCCCAGGAGTGAACCTGGGGGTCCGGCCTCACGTCGGAGAGCAGCCGCCTCCCCGGACACCGGCGCCGTGAAGAGCCAGGGAGCCTCCGGGGAGCCTGCGCCAGGGAGGGCCTGCCGCCTGCCGCCTGCCGCCTGCCGCCCGTGGGCTCCGTGCTCCCGCCTCTGAGAAGCTGCCCTCCTGTGCGTGGTGCCGGGTCGGCCCCGCCCGGGGCCGCACTGAACTCCAATGCCTCCCGGTCACCCCCGAGCACAAAGCCCAAGGTGGCTGTGGCCCCGGAGAGGGGCTGTGACGGGCCTCTCCCTGGTCCCACGGGAACAGGCTGGGAGTCCAGGAGAACCGGGAAACTCCGAAGGCGGAAAGCTGACTGAACGTGAGCCGCCTCCCCCACCCCAAGGCGCAGGAGCGACTCCCAGGACCTCAGGTCAGGAGAGCCGGCTCCTCCTGCAGGGGTTAGGGCGCAAACTAAAGTGGCCGCTGGCCCGGCGGCATGGCTCAGGGCTGAGCGTCCACCTAGGAGCCAGGAGGTCAGGGTTCGATTCCCGGTCAGGGCACAGGCCCGGGTGGCGGGCTCCATCCCCAGTGGGGGGCGTGCAGGAGGCAGCCCATCCATGATGCTCTCTCATCATGGCGGTTTCTCTCTCTCCCTCCCCCCTCCGCTCTGAAACCAATTAAAATCTATAATAACGCAAGTGTCATATGCTAATTAGACGACCTTTCGGCTGTCCTTCCTCCCGGACGAAGCCCGAACCCCGTGCACTGGCCTCCCGCGTACACACGTTAAGAACAAAGGCAGACAACAGGCCCCGGGCGGGCACCTTGACGCGGTCCCGGGGGCCTTGCAGGAGCAGCAGGATGACCCTGCCCGCGAACAGGAGCCGCCCGGCCAGCCCCAGGGCGGAGGCCCAGTGCCGCAGGGTCCTCGTGTAGCTGGCCTTCGCCCGCATGTGGTCCAGGCGCACCAGGGCCGTCCAGGGCGCCTCGGCCTCCCCGGGGCCCGCCGTGGCGCACCCGCCGGGGCCGGCTCCCGAGCCCGGCGGGGCGAGCAGGTGCCTGAGGTTCTGCTGGGCCCAGAGGACCAGCTGGTGGACCATCGGTTCCGGCGGGAAGGCCCGGGCCTGCTCCAGTAGCTGGTCCCTCAGGGCCGCGCACTGGGCCCTGGTCAGGCGCTCGGAGCCGACGGAGACGCCCGGCGGGCAGGCGGGGTAGCCGGCCGGCAGGTGGAACACCAGCTCCAGGGGGGTGTCCGGGCCCGACGGGCCCTCGGCCGTGGTGCGGACTCTGCACACGGAGCCCCGGGTCTCTGGAAGGCACGGAGAAACCGGTTAGCGCCCGGCCCCGATGGCAATGCCGCCCGGAGCTGGCCGGGAGGACCTGGGGTCTCTCCCACACCCCCCCCACACCCCCTCCCCCGTCTCTTCCAGTCGCCCCCACCCCTCCGGCCTCAGGGAGCGCGGTGCAGGCCCACACGCGCTGTACGGAGCCCGAGGCCGCCCGTCCAGCCTGAGCACCGTCCTCTCTGCAGGACAAAGCGAAGGAGACCTGGCACCCGGGCTGCCTGCCCGGCCCAAGGAGGGGCGGAGACCTGACAGGGTCTCCCCGGACCCCCTGCGCAGGGCGCACGTACCCTGGGCCACGAGTGATGGTTACCACCCGCGTACAGCGCCCCAGGGACTCCCACGGCCCGGCCATGCTGAATGGCACCCTCGGGTGGCAGCCCGGGCCACGTGCCCGCCGGCCTCCAGAGCAGCAGGCCCGGAGGCACCGGTGGCCTCAGGATGTCCGCAGCCCCGGGCCCGGCCGCCGGGGGGCGTGGCGCGGAGCAGCCTGCGGGTTAGCGATCCCCACCTCACCCTCCGCCCGCTGTGACCCCCCTGCACCCGCTTCCGACCCTGACCGCCTCCTCTCCCGCACACCACGCCCTGGGCGCCCGGCCGCCGGCGGAGAGGGTTACGTTAACCAGGAGGCGCTGCTGCGTTTCAGTTCTCTATTATGTCTGAAATTTCGTTGCTGTATTTTCCCATCACTTCATAGGACTGGTATTTTTTTTTTAACAAGTTGTGGCCCTCTAGGCAGCGGGCCGCGGTGAAGAAAGTCTGGGGGGTCAGGGTGTTGGCGCGCTCAGGGGGGCAGTAAGGCTGGGGGCCCCTGGGCTGGGGCTGGGCCAGGGCAGGCCCCTGGCCGAGGGGAGAGCCGGAGGGTCAGTGCGGGGCGGGGGTGCGGAGGGCGCACTCCTACCCCCAGGTCCCCCCAGCACCGGGGCGGGGGGTGCGGAGGGCGCACTCCTACCCCCAGATCCCCCCAGCACCGGGGCGGGGGTGCGGAGGGCGCACTCCTACCCCCAGGTCCCCCCAGCACCGGGGCGGGGGGTGCGGAGGGCGCACTCCTACCCCCAGGTCCCCCCAGATCCCCCCAGCACCGGGGCGGGGGTGCGGAGGGCGCACTCCTACCCCCAGGTCCCCCCAGATCCCCCCAGCACCGGGGCGGGGGTGCGGAGGGCGCACTCCTACCCCCAGGTCCCCCCAGGTCCCCCCAGCACCGGGGCGGGTGCTCCCGGGTTCGGGGAGCGGGACGGGCACAGGGCGCGGTGGCCGGGGCCGCCGGAGGGGGGCGCCCGAGCTGGGGCCTCCGATCCCCACCCCCAGCCGGGGGTCCCGGCCACACTTGGGGCGGCCCCGCGGGCACCTGAGCGGCCGAGCACCTCCCACTCGCCGGGGCCGCAGAAGATCGCGGCCAGCGCCGCCCGCTCCTCCTCCGCCGCCGCCCGCTCCTCCTCCGCCGCCGCCCGCTCCTCCTCCGCCCGCTCCTCCTGCTCCGCCATCCGCTCCTCCTCCTCCGCCGCCATCCGCTCCTCCTCCGCCCGCTCCTCCTCCGCCGCCGCCCGCTCCTCCTCCGCCGCCATCCGCTCCTCCTCCGCCCGCTCCTCCTCCGCCGCCGCCATCCGCTCCTCCTCCGCCCGCTCCTCCTCCGCCGCCATCCGCTCCTCCTCCGCCCGCTCCTCCTCCGCCGCCATCCGCTCCTCCCGCGCCGCCATCCGCTCCGCCTCCGCCGCCCCTTCCGCCCGCGCTGCCGGCCGTGGCCACCGGGGGGCGCGCGCGTCTGCGCGGCGCGTGGCGGGCGGACAGGCCCGCGGTGCCCCCGCCCCGGCCTTTGCCTCCCGCCTCCCGCCTCCCGCCTCCCGCCGCCCGCCGCCCGCCGCCCGCCGCCCGCCTCCCGGGGCGGCGAATGGCCGGGCTCCCCGCGCCCCGGGGCCGGGCTTTCCTGCCCGCCCACCCCGCCCGCCCCCGGTGCGGGAGGAGGAGGAGGCCGGGCGGAGGGGACTGGGCGGGAGGAGCGGGAGCGGGGACGTGGGGCTCCTGGAGGGGCGGGGGGAGGCGGGGACTCTCAGCCTGGGCCCCCCCCCCCCCCGCAGCCTGGGCCCCCGCAGCCTGGGCCCCTGCAGCCTGGGCCCCTGCAGCCTGGGCCTGGGCCTCCCCGGGGCGGCCCCTGCAGCCTGGGCCCCGGGTCACTGCCCGGCCAGGTGCTGCCCAGGCCCCCCTCCTCCCCCCCTGGGACTCCCGGCCTTGGGGCGCCATCACGTGTGTAAACACAGGCTCCTCAATAAAACACAGGCTCCTCAATAATTAATCTGTGGAGCCGACGCCAGAAGCAGCGGCACAGGAGCCACAGGAAGAGACGGGCCCGGGAACCCAGCGCTTGGGTTCAGGAACCGGAGTCCTCGGACCGACCCGGACCGGACCGGCGGGATCCCAATCCTGTTTCAGCCTGGCTCCGAGGCTGGAGACCCTGCGAGGCACCTGCTGGGCCTGGCGGAACCTTTTGTTTGTTTTGTTTTAATTGACTTTTAGGCAGAGAAAGAGAAACATCCTGAGGGCCTGCCCTCAGCTGCCTCCTGCAGGCCCTGCTGCCCGGGATGGAGCACCCCTTCTCCCCCCCCCATACACACTCACCCCACACACAGGACACACATACACAGGACACACATACACAGCGCGCACACAGCACACACACACACTCACCCCACACACACATAGCACACACATACACAGCACACACACCCCACACCCCGCACACACGCGCGCGCAGCATGCACATACACACGTGCATGCACACGCATGCACACATAACACGTGCACACTACACATGTATACGCATCATACACATGCACGTACAAGTGCACGCACACACTGTCTGATGGGAATGGAACCGGCAAGCGTTCCGGGGGCCCAGCTGACGGAGCCACAACGGCTGCAGAACCTTTTGGGTCCGTTGGTTGGTTGGTTTGGTGCTGATGTTGCCTTAGAGTTTCTTTTTTTGAAAAGAGATGACGTTTTGAGAGGCCAGCGGGGGACTGACCGCTGCAGTGGCGGTCCCTGACCTGCAGCACCAGCGGGCGGCCGTGGCCCTGGTCGTGCTCCCACCTCCGGCCCCTCCTCCTGCTGCTGCCACGGGGAGGGAAGACGGGAGCCTGCTCCCAGGGTAGGCCTCTCCCGGAGGGAGGCCGGGGGAGGCCGGAGGGAGGCCCGGAGAGGCCCAGACGGACACCATGGGGTTCCGGGGACCGAGCTCTCAGAGCCGGCTGTGTTCACTGTCGTTGGACAGGTTTATTCACACTCGGATGGGCCTGCTGGTTAGCAGCGCTTTATTTTAGACGCCTTAGAGTTAATTCCGATCAGCAGCCGTGCCTGGGGCTCCGATCAGACAAAGGAGTCCATTTCCTACTGAACATTCCCGGCGCCCTGCGGCCTGGCTCCGGTGAGCCCATCGCCCCACCACAGGCTCCGTTCCATTCCCGGTCAGGGCGCCGTCCCAGGGGGGAGCAGCAGGCAGCTGATCCATGGCGCTCATCTCTGACGTTTCTCTCCCTCCCTCTCCCTTCCTCTCCGAGATCAATAAAACGTGTTTTTAAGAGAAGCAGCGTTATCCTCTGATATCCCCACGCACACGGCCCTTTCGGTGATTCTCGTCCTGAACCCACCTCCCTCCGGGGAGGGGAGGGAAGGGAAGGGAAGGGGGAGGGAGGGGAGGGGAGGGAAGGGGAGGGCAGGGGGGCGGGTAGTAGGCAGGAGACAAATGAGCTGGCAGCCGGAGGAGTTCTTGGAGCCGCATCTCTGGGAGTGAGAAAGGCCCTCCTTGGGTTTGGTCTGAAACACGGAGCTGGTGTGAGAGCTGTCCGCCGCCCCAGCGCCATCCTCAGCCCCAGCCCGTCCCCAGCCATCCCCGGGGGGCGGGGGGCAGCCAGGCCGGCAGCCAGGACCGGCTCGGCTCCGCGGCCTCGTACGCGGGGAACCCGGCTGAGCCATCTGCTGGCAGGTTTGTTTGGAAATAAACGGGACGCCAGTGAGTTGGCAGATGAAAGAGCCGGGCTCCCTCAGGCTGCCCCCCCCCCCCGCCCCCGCGACCGCAGCCAGAACGCCCACAGCGGCTCCGGTGGGACGCTCTGGTCGCCCAACCGGTTGAAGGACTAAGAGGAGCCACAGACGTGTCCCAATGAAACCATCACAGGGTTGGCTTCGCTTCGTGTCGTAAACAGGCGTTCGTAAATGCTACAGGCCTGCCTCCGCCTCCTCACACGGGTTTGTCTGACCGCTGCTTAAACTTCCTGCAGTGCTTTCCTTTAAGCAATATTTTAATTGGTCAGAGAGGAAGGGAGATGGGGAGAGAGAGAGAAACATCAATGACAGAGTCGTGCATCAGCTGCCTCCGGCACGCCCCACACTGGGGATCAAGCCTGCAACCCGGGCCTGTGCCCTGGCCGGGAATCAAACCCCGACACCCTGGCTCATAGGTCAATGCTCAGCCCCTGAGCCACACCCGCCGGGCCGAATTTATTTTAATTGTGTCTTTTGGGACGTGTTCGTTTCCCTTAAAAAGGAAACAAGCATGCGGTGTGGACTCCCTCCCGCACAGGTCGCCCCGCAGACGCCTCTGAGCGAGCGGCGGTGAGCAAAGGGCCGCTCTCAGGGGTGGCGTCAGCCCCAGGTGTGAGCGTGGACATTCCACCGCCTTGGTCACGTCGAGAGGAGGCCCGCCTTGGAGCCGGACAGACACGCCCCTGAGACGCCGGCACGGCCTCCGTGGGGCTCCCGGGGCCAATGAAAACGGCAGGTTTTCCTCGGGCGCCTCCGCGGGCCCCGGGCACCTGCTGGGCACCGGGGAGGCGGCACTCACGGCTCCCGGAGCTCGGCGGTGCCGGGGCAGGCGCCCGGGGAGCCTGCACACACACACGCGGCGCCCGGAGGAGGTGTCCACCGGAAAGGGAGCAGAGCCCCAGCCTCGGGAAGGGGCGCTCCGCCGTGGGAAGGCGGGCAGCGTGCGGTGCAGGTGCTGAGCCGTCCGCGTCCACAGGCCGGTCCCTCTCCCGCAGACGGGGGCCGGGGGTGGGGACATGCCGCGGCAGGTCTGGGAGCCTGGGCAGACCCCCCCACGCCATGTGACCGTCTATGGAAACCTTCACGCTGCCTCCGGCTTACGGTGCACGGAAAAATCAAGAAAGAAATCTTGGGATTAAAAACAAAACTTTAGTTTCTCTTTCCTACAGGTAAAAACTTAGAGAGAGGGAGGGAGGGAGGGAGGGAGGCGGGGGGGGGGGACTGGAACCCTGGGCGGCGTGTCCCTGACGCGGAGCGGGGCCGCGGCGCTCAGTCCAGCTTGCCGTTGCGGAGGCTGCTGCCGGCCTTCTCCCGCCGCATCAGCGCCAGCACGCGGAAGCAGCCCTTGGCGATCTTGACCATCCAGAGGACGTTCATCACGTCCAGGACCACGCAGGAGCCCACCCAGGAGCACTGCGTCAGCAGCCCCAGCCGCGCGTAGGGCTCGGTGCCCACCACGGAGAGCATGTAGCCGTAGAAGGACGGGATGGGCAGGATGCGCACCACGAAGAAGGCCAGCGTCATGAGCAGCCCGTTGAGCACGTTGGCCGTGGAGAGCTTGGAGTACCGCAGGGCTTCCAGGAACCACCTGCGGGACGGGAGGCACGGCTGGGACGAGCGCGGCCTGCGGACCGAGGGGCCTGGGCTCGGTCCCCAGGCAGGGCCCACGCCTGGGCTGCGGGCAGGAGGCAGCCAATCCACGATTCTCTCTTATCATCGATGCCTCTGTCCCTCTCTGCCTCTCCCTTCCTCTCTGACATCAATGAAAATAAAACACGTAAGAAACGTCACTGCTTTGCGTCTGTGGGCAGTGACGTTTTAATTCCCGGTTACAGCTCCGTGAGCACAGCCCCAGGTGGACAGACGGGGCCGGGGCAGGTGTGGAAGCACTGACAGGCGCTGTGCATGCCCGCAGGGCGGTCCACGTCCAGCTGCCGGCGGGAGGGTGCAGGACACAGCTGCCGGCGGGGAGGGAGGGTGCAGGACACAGCTGCCGGCGGGGAGGGAGGGTGCAGGACACAGCTGCCCGGCGGCCGCGGCCCTGGCTCTGAAGCCCTTCTTCTCCCACGCGAGGGCCCAGGCTGCCAGAGGAGTCGCTGGGGCCGGGCTGGGACACAGAACACACACGTCCTTAGGTGTGTTGTCTTTTAACAAACATGCCTTTTATCAGAGGACAGAAGGATGGGGTGTGTCCAGGGACATAAAAACCAACAAAAGCCATCTTATCGCCTGGGCTCCTTCCTGGGAAGTGGGGGTGTGAACAGGGCAGGCACTATTTACATACAGGTAGTGAGTGTGTTTTGTGTTGATTTCAGAGAGGAAGGAGAGGGAGAGAAACACCCATGATGAGAGAGAATGTGATGAGAGAGATGACGGGGCGGCTGCCTCCTGCACGCCCCCTCCCCCTCCCCCTCCCCGGGGATGGAGCCCACAACCCGGGCCTGTGCCCCGACTGGAATCAACGTCCAACCACTGAGCTTTCATTCCCAGCCTCACGTGTTGGTATCGGCTGCCTGATGCACAGGGGGAAGGGGTGAGGCTCGCTTGCAGGGAGGGGAAGAAAGTGAGGAAAGGGGCCCGGAGCTGGGCCTGGGGGCTGGGCGCCCCGGGCGGGGGCGGGGGCGGGGGCTGGCCAGGGCTGCGGGCTGGACGCGGAGCCCAGCGGTGGGAGAGCCTCGCGCTGGCTGTGAGCACAAGCGGGACCTTGTTGGGACCTTGGAGAGGGTCCAGGAGGCTCTGAGGCGGAGCTGTGCTGGGCGGGACCCAGAGAACATTAACTCCGGAGGCGCGGGCGCGGGGGCATCTCCCAGCAGCAGAGCGGGTTAAACAGAGACAGGCGAGCGGCAGAGACGGAGACAGCCTGCGAGGGGACGCATCCACCCGGCGTGGGGGGGGGGGGGGGGGGCGCCTGTCGCGCTGAGGAGCACAGGGAGGGGGGTCCCCGAGGGGCAACCCGGGGCTGCGTCCGGAGAAACGGGGGCCGGGCGCAGGCGGCCAGGTGGCACAGGGACTCGCCTGTGGAAGTGGCCGCTGCGTGCTGGTCGTCACACCTGTGCCCACGCTCGCCTTCCCCGAGCTGTGGGGCCTGGGAAACAATCCCCCCTCCGCCCGCCCATCCACGGCACAGCTGACCACACCGTCCCCTACCGCTGGTTCACGCAGGGGCTGGAGAGCTCGGCCAGCAGGCGGAAGTTGGCGATGTACTGCAG